CTGCCTTTGATGTAGTTTTGAAAAAAAGGAAATTCATACGCAGTCACAATGATATGTGACTTAACAAAATGTCTGGTATCGGTACCAATTGCAGCAAAAACAATAGCTAAAGCAGTATTTGAAAACTTTATACTGATTTACGGGCCTATAAGGAAAATTATTGCAGACATGGGTACCGAGTATAAAAATAAAATTTTCGATGATATATGCAAGTTATTGAAGTTAGAAAATACTTCGTCAACCGCGTACCACCATCAATCATTAGGTACAGTAGAACGAAATCATAGAACATTTAATAAGTACATAAGATCATATATTTCCATAGGAATAACGGATTGGGATGAGTGGCTACAATATTTTACATATTGTTATAACACCACACCTTCGATTTTATTTTCCTTATGACCTGGTTCTCGAAAAATCACCCACATCTATGATTTCCTTAACACTTTAGAAATAGATCCCTTTTATAATCGTATGCTTATAGAAGCGTACGACAAAAAAATAAAATTTCGTTTGCAGAACGCAAATAAACGCGCGATAAAAGCAATAGGAAATAGAAAACAAATAAGTAAAAAATTATATAATAGGAATGCACTTAGTAGTAAAGTATCTGTAGGAGATTTAGTATTAGTTAAACAAGTAGGACATAAATTAGATAGTTTATATAAGGCCTCATTTAAGTTAGTAGATATAGATAATAAAAATAAGTTAGTAGATATAGATAATAAAAATAACGCATTAGTTCAAGATGATTAGGATAAAATAAGTAAAATACACTTAGACAGACTTAGACTGTATAATAAATACAAAAAAAAAATGTTTATTTTATTTAAGAGTATTGAATTTTTAAATATATTTCAAAAAAAAAAAACTATATACAATAAGAATGAGTTTATTCAAAAAAAAAAATTAATTACAAATAATATATAGGATTTAGGATAACATGAAATTGTAAATGATATTGCTTAAGTATAAATATATATAGTTAAAATTATATGTAAAGTACATGATAATATTAAATTTTTATTCCTTTTTGTTTCAAATAAACTCATTCTTTAAAAGAAGGGAGGTGTAGCGTACATGCATCTTAGTAACTAATTTCAGACATACTTTATTATGAACTTTGTTATGAACAGCGACATGGAATGTGCTTAACTAGCATATTTCTAGCGCTTATCACTCAAGCAACAATATCGCAACGAAGCTATGTTGTTGTATATTAACTAATGCATACATGCTGCTCCGTATATAAAATTATAATTCATACGTAGGCATACGTGCGCTTGTGCGCAATGTATTTTAAGGTAGTTTTAAGAATGTAATATTCAGTTATGTATAAGTAATCAAACGGTCATTAATAAAGAGTAAAACAGGAACGACGTGCCTTTTCTTTAATAAAACTATAAGAACATTACACCGTGTACAACAATGGGATCATAAAATCTAAACGAAGGTCATGGAATACTTTCCATAACAGTGTTGAGAATACTCCATAAATAGCCCGCCTCCACAAGGTGTTGAGAAAGTCTCTTACAAATGATGGTCTCTATACAGCGTATGGCCGGAAAACTTCACATCGTCTTTTGTGTTTGTACTCTCCAGGATCGGTCTTAAGTGATGCATCTATGCACAACCAAACAGACGATTGAGGCCCCTCTCTGGTATTATAGTTGACACTGATAAAATAAGATTTCAGGTATTATAAGATAATATAATTGTTATCTAGAACAGCACAGACGTTCTTATAATTCCAATAAAGGTAATTTTTAGAGCAAGTCTATGTTGGAAGTACTTACCTAAATGTTGAAGAGAAGTTAATGTGGTATTTATATAAAAGAATGGTTAGCCTCTCATTCTTCCTTCTCAAAACTATGGCTCAATTACGAATACTTTAAGTAACAGAAATATTGATTTCAATATTATTGCCCAGATTCAGGCTATACTACAAAACAGAAAAATCACATCAACTTTAGGCAAGACTTCTACAGCCTTTAAGACTGTTCCCTACAAGAAGGTTGCCTACAAGGTGGAGTGTTGTCTCCTTTGCTTTGGTCGTTGTGACGCCACCGAATATGCAGATGACCTAGTCATAATCGTGTCTGGAAAATATGGCAGCAGTCTACCTGAGATAATAGTAGGACACTTTCGACACATTTTGGCGTAATGCAAAACAACTAATGTTGCTCCTTTTATACATGAACGTAAGTTAGACATAGGTCCTATACATTTGGGTAACACTAATATTTCTCTTACTTTATGGTATACTTCTTGAAATACATACTTAAAGAAACTACACAATAGCGCATGAAGGACTTTATGGACAATGCTGTCCTGTATTGATAAAACTTGGAGAACGGGCCGCCAACGCTTTTGTGGGTTAAACTGGGCCATTACAAACCAAATACTCAAAGACAGGGAGAATTGTTTGCGGCTGGTGTACTGGGAAGATTTCTCAAGTGTTAGACAAAGCAAACAACGCAATCAAATCATACTCGCGCAAGAAGATACTAAAGCTCTTAAAAGGTGATTTAAGGTGGGTAAGGGGTCTCATTTTGGGTCATTATTGGTCTGAAATATCACCTACATAAACTTCAAATATCTGTTAATTCGGAATGCAAACTGTGCCTCCACGATGAGGAAACACCTATGCATATTATTTGTGACTATCAAACTTTAACAGCGCACAGAAGGAAGTTGAATTTTGGAGAATTTTTGTCACCACTACAGACTAAGAGCTCTTTGTCAGATTTAGTTCTGGTCTTTGATCATAAGGCTTTAAAGGGCTTTGTGTAATTAAAAATGAATTTGATGCAATAGGACTCTTCTGGCTGCAATATCGGCAAATAATGTTGTACATAAACGTTTCGCAAACGATTTCCACATGTTTTGTGTTTTTAAATGTAATAAACGAATTCACACTACATAACCTCAAATTGCAATTCACATTTTTTTTAATACAATTTAACGAGCGAGTGTTGAAGTGTATATTATATATACGCCCGTTTTATAAAATTCTATATATTTATAGTAAATCATATTTATAGTCTCGCATTGAGGCGTCACTACCTTCCGCTTAGTCTCAAATGAGACAATATGTTAACAGTAATAGTGGGAATGCGACCAATAGATATATTAGCACAAGAAGTATAGCGCATGTACATACAGAAGCAGCAATAACAAGAGATGTCGGAAAGCAGCGAAGTATTCAAGAATGACAGTGCAGATAGGTGACATCAGAAAAAGGAAGATGGATAAACGCACTGATAAATGACATCGACCTTTGGGTGCACCGCAAACATGGAGAAGTTCACTATTTCCTTACCCAAATACTTAGTGATCACGGTTGCTTTAAGTATTACCTTCATCGCTTTAAACATGAAATTGATGCTAATTACCTAATTGGACACATTAGGTGCATGCTGGATGTTAGACACGTGTGTTTTAAATGCCCGCGTTGTAACGAAAAGTGACAAACCGTTCGATTGTAGTAATGGAAGGGGTGCGCGAGACAAATAATCGGCATTTGCGTTTACTTTTGAATTTTTGTATATAACTTCGTAATCGAATCTGTTTAAAAATTCTACATAGTTAGCCATTCTACTTATGCATAGTACAAGAAGCGACTTGCTGAGTTAAAGAGTCTATAATAACGGCTTATGATCCGTGTTCAATATTCAATGACGAGCAGTGCAATAATTTTTCATTCTCTGAACGATGCGACAATTTTTCAAATTTTTGCACTGCCCACACAATTGCTAGTGCCTCTTTATTGTTGCATTTATTATCATATTAAATAAATTTTCCACTTTCGGAATTGGATGTTCAATAATGATCATTTGTGGATGAACTGTAATTGCCTGTAATGCGAATATCACCATGTTTCTTTGCGACAACATGTTTAGTCGAAACCCATTCCGAATGATCTACTCTCTTATAATAACTGAAGTGAATCTTTTGAATAACTTCTTTGACGTATTATTATTATTAAGACATGTTCTTCATTATAAAAATTAAGTTAAAAATATAAAAATTAGAACTTAGTCTATTCACAAATAATATTTATAAACTTCTTCCATTCCTCTCTGTTTCTGGCAATAAAACGTAACTGGTTAAAGGATTTGCTTGTTTCTGCTGCCACCGTTCTTCGCCAGGTGGTTTTGGGACGACCTCGTCT